AATGCATATCTTTATAGTGAAAAATTAATAAATGCTCATTATTTTTATAAAAGAATATGTGTGAGTCACGCTGATTATTTTAAGTGTAATTGGAAAGTTTCCCAGGTCTTGTATGAAAAATATCAAGGTGTATACATTAAAATTTACAGGTAAAATTTTGTATCTTTTGTTTTATGGTCAGTTTGATCAAATCGTTTCATGAACTATTTTTTCTGATCAGCCAATCTTCATCTTATTTCTTTGTATGAAGTGTTTAGTATGGTCTACCTCCTGTTCAACATAGACTTATTTAAGTCTATGGTGAAAAATAATTGGTACCTAGTTTTTCAAAATTCTTTTAGCAACTTCGTGTGCAGCCCAGTGGAATGGGGCATGAGATGGTTTGACCAGGACCATTGGAGGGGCAGTCAGCATCTGGGAGACTCTGGGAGAGCGGCAGGGAGCTCTAGCAGATGGAGGCAGCCCAGTGGGTCAGAAATCCAAGCCACTCCCCGCTCATGAAACGGCAGGAGCCAGCCTCCAGGTCGGAGTCCTGGTGCAGAACACCATCTCCTGGGTGGGACTAGGAGGTAATCCAGTTTCAAGAGGAGGCCTTAGGCTCAGGAGGCAGGACGAGAGTCAAGGAGACTCAGGAATAAGACCTAAGGTGAGGCTTGGGCTAACAGAGAGGGCGATGCTGTGTACTAGTCCAGCTGGGTTTCCTAAGGTCAAAAAAAGCCAGTTCTATTGGAACCATGTTAAGAACTTCTGTCTTAGGGGCTGGAGCTGGCTCAGTGTTCAGTTGGGCACAGGTGAACACAGGTGGGCACCAGTGGGCACCAGTGGGCACAGGTGGGCTCCAGAGGACTGAAGAGGCCGAGAATCAGGCAGGGCCTGGCAGAAACAAACGTCATGGTAATCATAGTAGCAATACTGCTTGCTGTGCCCAGAGCCCTCCAAAGTAGGAATAACACCCCCATTTTAAAGAATTAGAAACAGAGGCTCGTGCTGCCTGAGGCCACCCTGGAGCTGGATTTTGATGCCCAAACACGTTGGCTCCCTCTAACAAATCAAGTTGCTGTGAGTTCCTTCAGTTCCAGTGCCCCCCCGCCCCCCGACAGCTTCATCTCTTTCCTGCCTGATACGTTTTGGTCCCAGGTCATACCCCGAAGTGCAGGACTTATTTATTCCTGGGTCCCAGGGCTGCCTTTGCTATCAGAGATTCAACTGGGGGTTTCTCAGCTCTGGAACATCGTGTGCTGAGAAGCTTCTTCCCCACGGTGTCTTTTCAGGCAGCCTGGAGCAGCTCAGCCGGCTGCTCTCTGGACTATTCAGGGCCTCAAAGAACACAGGGAGCCGAAGAGACCCTAANAGTGGGTCAGAAATCCAAGCCACTCCCCGCTCATGAAACGGCAGGAGCCAGCCTCCAGGTCAGAGTCCTGGTGCAGAACACCATCTCCTGGGTGGAACTAGGAGGTAATCCAGTTTCAAGAGGAGGCCTTAGGCTCAGGAGGCAGGACAAGAGTCAAGGAGACTCAGGAATAAGACCTAAGGTGAGGCTTGGGCTAACAGAGAGGGCGATGCTGTGTACTAGTCCAGCTGGGTTTCCTAAGGTCAAAAAAAGCCAGTTCTATTGGAACCATGTTAAGAACTTCTGTCTTAGAGGCTGGAGCTGGCTCAGTGTTCAGTTGGGCACAGGTGAACACAGGTGGGCACCAGTGGGCACCGGTGGGCACAGGTGGGCTCCAGAGGACTGAAGAGGCCGAGAATCAGGCAGGGCCTGGCAGAAACAAACGTCATGGTAATCATAGTAGCAATACTGCTTGCTGTGCCCAGAGCCCTCCAAAGTAGGAATAACACCCCCATTTTAAAGAATTAGAAACAGAGGCTCGTGCTGCCTGAGGCCACCCTGGAGCTGGATTTTGATGCCCAAACACGTTGGCTCCCTCTAACAAATCAAGTTGCTGTGAGTTCCTTCAGTTCCAGTGCCCCCCGCCCCCCGACAGCTTCATCTCTTTCCTGCCTGATACGTTTTGGTCCCAGGTCATACATTGGCTCCCTCTAACAAATCAAGTTGCTGTGAGTTCCTTCAGTTCCAGTGCCCCCCCGCCCCCCGACAGCTTCATCTCTTTCCTGCCTGATACGTTTTGGTCCCAGGTCATACCCCGAAGTGCAGGACTTATTTATTCCTGGGTCCCAGGGCTGCCTTTGCTATCAGAGATTCAACTGGGGGTTTCTCAGCTCTGGAACATCGTGTGCTGAGAAGCTTCTTCCCCACGGTGTCTTTTCAGGCAGCCTGGAGCAGCTCAGCCGGCTGCTCTCTGGACTATTCAGGGCCTCAAAGAACACAGGGAGCCGAAGAGACCCTAACACTCCATCTCCAGATCCCAGGCTGGAGAGTTCCATATAGGATGCTGCAGTTTGGCTCCTTCTCAATTTCACAGCCTGCTTCCTTTGGGGGTCTCCTGCCTCCTAAAAGCAAGTTTTAGACCTCTGCTATCAAATCCTTAAGCAAGACACAGCACTAGCAACCAGCTCAAGACCTGCTCTGCAACAGAGGGACCCGTGGCTCCACCACTCACTCACTGTAGGACCCTGGACAATTTGCAGAGAGACCTCTAAACAGTGGTTCTCAGAGTGGGACCCAGGACCAGCAGCACCAGCACCACCTGCGAACTTGTTGGACGTGCAAATTCTGGGAGTGGGGCCCAGCGGTCTATCTCACCAGCCCTCCAGGTGAATCTGTTCTAAACCTGTTTCCTTCTTTGTAGAATGGGTATTATCAATATTCGTAGCTCAAGGGTGGCTTTGAGGATTAAATGAGATAGTGCGTGGTCCTGGCAGCAAGGTAAATGTCAGTTGCTGTGACTGTTATCTCACTAGTTACTAATGGTCACTGCTTTAGGAGCATAGGAATTTCTTATTCCACAAGAACGGAGGAATCCTCAGGCATGTGCCCTCCTTCCTTCCTTCTTCCCCTCAGCTGGGCTGGGTCTCAGGCTGCCAAACCCCCTGGGCTTCACCGCAGCTTCTGTAGCCTGACCCTGGGTCACACCTATGCCCAAAGCCATCATTCCCTCTCTTTCAATCCGCTGGCTGTTGCCATGGGAGAGGAAGCTGAGATCTTCCCTCTGTCTGTAGGTTTCCCCTCTCCATTTACTCAGACCAACAGCACCCACACCCATCCATGGAGTCCCCTGTCCTGGCCCCTGTCCAGGGCCTCCAGAAGGATCCACCTCCCTGTTACCTGCCCCCGCCTTCATCCTTTACCAGAGGGTCAGATGACCAACCTCGTAGCAACTGGACACATCCATGTGGGTGGCAGGAGAGGTACAGGGAGGGTCTCCTTGAATCATAACCCAGCCCCAAGCAACCCTCTACATTAGCTGCATGTATCCCGTTCTCTACCCCCAAGCTTCCTTCCGCTTCAATTTCCAAGTGACAGTGGTCCATCTTTTTCTTTTTTGTGATCTTGGAGTAGATTTGTATCTATTCTCTACCTAACAGGCTCAACAGAGAATGCATTTACTCTGTCATCATTGATACTGAGTAATAACAATAAAACATATCAGCAAGACGGGAAAGTCAGCTCAGGGATAAGTACCTTTTCTGTCTCCAGTTTTCTATTTATGCTTCCAATCCCAGCCCCCAACCCCCCTTACTTCAGGTACACAGCTCCTATCTCGTAGCCCAGGACCAGAGAGATCTTTAGAAATGCAGAATCTCCCCTGCTCAGACCCGCAGAGGCTGCACCTGCATGAAAACAGCCCCCCACCCCCACTGCACCCCCCAGTGATTCTCTCTGAGAAGCCCTGAGGGACGTTTGCAAATGCTCCTGTAGACAAGTTCTCCTGGGACACTGGTTTAAAGTAAGAATTCCCAAAGGGTCCGATTTACATGAGTTTGGGGTGGAACCAAGGATTCTGAGCTTTTATGACAATCTCCCATGTAGTTCTTATGATAAAATAAATTGGGAATCAGGGTCAAGTATAAAGATCCCAAAACAACCAGTCTTTACCCCAGTGTGGAGCTTTGGGCATTCATCTTCAGGTTCTTTTGTTGAATGGAATTTGTGGCATCTGGGTGTGGAGCAAAGACCACCTCCCACACTCCTGTTCTTAATTTTTTTTTTTTAATTCCAACAGTTCAGATGGGAAGAAGGTAAAAGATATAAATTCTCTTGTTGCTGCTGGCACCTAAGATCAAGGCAAGATTGTTTAAACCAGTAAAGTGGGGACTCTGGGGCCAGACTCCAGGATGAAAAGGGATGAATCCAAGCTGGAAACGGACACAGGTTGGGTGACCATGTGGGTCACCACCAGTACAGAACCTGATTCCACAGTGGGGGCCCCAGCATCACAGCGGTGCATCCCAGGGTCGGGAAAAGGAGAGGGAGCTCAACCTTTTTTTTCCAAAACTGCTAAAGTCATTGGGTCTGCCAAGCTACCCCAGCCAGCTCCCAGGCAGCCCCCCTGAGCCCGCCCGCCTTGGTCCCCTGGACAAGGGTGCAATTGACCAGCATGAGTTGCCTCTGGCCCAGCCAGATGATGGCCAATTTTTTTTTTTTTTAAGCCATCGAATTCAATATTTACAAGAACAATCCCATGCTTGCTTGGTTCTAAAACTATGGGCCACACAAGGAACAGTTTACTTCTCCCTTCAGCCTATCAGAAGAAAAACATAGGCTTGTGCTTCAGTCTTAAAAAACAGAATAATAAGTACGGTAAAAAATCAATGAAAAGAGCAAAACTGTTTATTGCATGTGGCCCCTTTCCCTCCTGTTGTTGAACAGAATAAAAGCCCGTTTTTGCCAGGGCTCAGGGCCCTCGTGGTCCTGGCAGCCCCCCAGCTGCGGCCCTGTAACTTTAAACCTGGCCTGAGATCATCGTTTTTGCACTGGCCAGACAGAGCCGGAGGGCGGTCCTAGCACGCCTGGGACTGAGACCACCTTACAGCTGCTCCCCGCCCTCATCGGGAGAGATAAATGCTGACTGCACTCGGAAAGTTTCCAGTTGCAAAGTTTGCTCCTGCGGCTGCCTGGGGTGAAGGAAAACTGGGCACCCTCCCGCACTGGGACTCTGCTGCACGCATCCCGACTCCTCCAGGCTGGGCCTGTGCCTGCAGAGCTTTGTGATCATCCCCCAGCACAAAAAAGTCGTGGCTGGGCCCCAAAGAGAACAAGTCAGCTGGGAAGATGTGGAAGGTTACAGTCCTGCTCTTCGTTTTGGGAAGTGCATCGCTCTGGGTCCTGGCAGAAGGAGGTAAGACCCAGCGCGAGTGGCTTCCTGCAGCGGCTGCTGGGGACCAGCGAGCAGAGACTTGCTGGAATTCCTGGGCCTGGTATTTGAGGTCGCCCAGGAGAGCGCGGGGGAGCTGGGAGTGTGTGTGTGCCCGCGAGTCGGATCAGCACCAAGGAGGGGAGGCAGCAGCTTAGCTGTGCCAGGTTCCAAAGAAACAGTTTGCGGTGTGCCCAGAGCAGGCAGCAGGGGTGGCAGCAGAGGGGGTCTCCCTCCAGGTCAGCTCGCAAGAGATAGGGGTCGAAGGATAAGAGCCACCGGGCTTCCCCCTGGGGGGCTGTGTTGGAGGAATACCCACAGCCTCAGAAGAAATTGGCCCCATGGGATTGGGAGGGACATTCAGGAGGGCTGGGGTTCATCTCTGAGGTTTAAGTGGGTTTGGGGCCGTGTGTTGAACTTGGCCAGCAACCTCAATGACCGGATCAGTGTTGGTGACTCCTTAGACTACAGGATTCCATCCGGCGGTGGGGCACACCACCTGCCCCACTGGCCACGTCTTCCCTCCCCTCGTGTCCTCTCCTTTCCTCTTCTCATCTCTCACCTCTTTCTGTCCACTGTGCCGTGCTGGTGGCCTCTGCGAACACTTGTCAACATTCTATTTCTTTTCTTGGGTTTTTATTTTTGTCTGTTTCCTCAATTGAATATAAGTTCTAGAGGACACAGGGATGTCTGGACTTGATCTCCAGGGCCAAAACAATGTCTGCCGTGTAGCAGTTGCTTACTAAATATTGGCTGAAGAAATTGTAGGCTGACTAGTGATCTTTGGGGCTGGAGGGTGCTGAGCTGTGCTTGAAAGGTAAACTCTTCCATAGGTAGGCCGAGGACCAGAGGAATTCTTCTTGAAGGGAGTGGTTTGCAGGAGGGGTGGACCAAACCTAGGCTTCTACAATTCTGCACAGACAAAAATACCCAGACTTAGGGAAATTATACAGAGTGTACTATTCTATGCTGGACTGCCTGCTTGGAGGAGATGGAGCAATTCTCTTTACAGGGGCTGTGGGCTATTCATGGCAATCCTATCTTTGGAACTTCTCTTTCCACCGGAATATATACAGTTCTGTATTTCAGTTACATTTCCTTTTTGGCGAGACAGCGTGCAAATGACACCATTTTGAGCTCACCCGTGCAAGGTGACGGAGGCCTCCAATCTGAGCCGTGTGTATCCCAGCTCTGCTAAGGAAAGATCGTGGC